CGTACGAAGATATGTTTCAGGAGCGCGACCGAACGCCGGACCAGATCGAGCGTCGTGTCAAATACCTTAAGCTGCACCGAAAGACACACGATTCATCGGATGAAGATGACAATAAGATCAGCGATTCTGTTGGTGATGATTTTGGCGATGTTGAGAAGAAAAGTGTGCGAGAGTCCAGACTGGAAAAGGATCTCGCAACTCTTGATACCGCTCATCCACGGCGACGACTACGTCGGGGAGCAAGACTTAGTGATGAGGAAAGTGACGATGAAATTTTCTTAGGACGAGAGGCAGATCCATCTTTGGTGACCAGCAAAACCACCAGTGAGGTGACCAAAGCGGTTAATGGTGCTTTAAACGCTACTTCTGACCCAAAGGTACAGTTTACGCTCCAAATTTTGGTTGTATTAATGACTGATGCTGTCGTCGAAATCCAATTGCAGGACGACGTGGAGACTCAAGTGCATATAGACAGCTCAAACTTGAGTCTCCATAATCAAACTAAGCAGTCATTTATTAGTCAGGAACCCGAGACATCTCTGGCTACTGACACATCTAGCAACAAACCTGGCAAGGAGGCAGAAGAGGATGAGGTCTTAGCTGGTATGAACCTTGTGGAGATCAATGGCAGCCAGAAGGACGTTCTCTTGAAGGATATTGCACCACAGTCCCGTAAACGAAAACGCGATTCCGAAGAACACGAGGTAATTAGCGACATGCAACCAAAGACAAATTTAACTCAGGGATGAAAACATGATGCTACATCTGCTTATCAATCTCTTTTTGTCATAACGAGCAATGATGATATGCTTTGTTCTTTACTATCTACTAGCTAAATAATTCCTTCCTGCAGATCTTCATCAGACTCTCTTAGATTCATGTCAATCCGATGGGCACTGACAATTTCTGAGAAACACTGTGTACGAATTAAAGCCCGGTAAAACGATAGATCATCGTTCGTTTGAGTTGCTAGGTACTCAGTTTCATCAAAAATGACTACAGATTCATGCGTATCCCCTACCACCAGGCAAGCATCTGTGTGGCCGCTCAATAACCCAGACAAGAGGTCAAAACATATTCCACGCATTTGCTCGTCACGTTTGTCTCCTGACTCTAAGGAAGTTCTATCTGGATCCGTGTCGCATCCTCCAATGTTGTCGAATTGCAGCATCCTAGAACAAAAAATCCTGTCCAATTCGTGCTTAGCAGCCTCAAAGCATCGCGGAAGGAATATTGCACCCTCGCCGACATCGTACTGAAGACCCAGACCACGCCAAGCCATCGACTGATCACCAATATATTCTACGACCTTGCGATCCATATCAGCCACGAGATAAAAACCGCGGGTTGGCAGATCCGATCGCAATGCAAATTCACTGTTTACACCCACAAGAATCGGCGTCGGACACTGCAGATACGACAGCAGTGGCTTCGGCAGCACCGGAGCGTATACATGACACCAAGAAAATGGACGTAGCAAGGTGCGGAGTGCCTCTGCACATATTGTAAGCATCGAATATTGGCTAGCAATAAATACGATACTACACTCCAATACAGCGCTGGCAAGGATTTGAAGAACCATTGCTGTACCAAACTGATCAAATAAAGTTGAAACTGAAACATCCACGTGAGCTTCTAGCGTACTCAAAGGTAAGCTCAATATACTACTGTATTTTCGTTGAGCCAGACGACGCATTTCAGGATGTACATATGTATGAATTGCGGCGTTTGGTATTGTCTTCCTTTTCCAGCTAAGTCTGCTTTTATAAAGCAAGTTTAATCGTTCATGCGCAAGAATACTGGAATGCGAATTGTTTCTTTGAATATGTTCTTCTACAATTGTTCGGAGCGAGTTAACAAATGGTAAGTGAGAGAGCAAACAGAAACCCTTGGCGACATAGATATCCTCGTTTGAGCATTCCATGCGCATGTGTTCGTACGTCAAGTAGACCGACCCAAACAAAGATCCATTGCAACCGCTCTGTTGAAATGGAAACAGCACATCAGAGGGACACTTCTCATCACCCGACCGCTTGATGAGGATCTTCCCATTGGGTACAAGAAAAGTTTTGATCCGTCGTGAAATGTCATCAAATGGCTCATCGTTACTATTTCTTTCCTTGTATGGGTTAGTTACAGGCATGAGCATGAGCGTTGCAGCAGTACCACCCAGTTCTTGCAGTTCTGTGAAGGTTGCGAAGGTTAGAATCGTATCAATACCACACTTGTCCCCTTTCGAAGCACTTGCATCGGGAAAATCAAAGTTTGGTCGATAGTGCACTTGTAGTCCATCCGGCAACTTTGTCAAGCGGATAATGCTCTCGAGATTCAAATTCACCTTAACAAAATCGCGCTCGTCTGTTTCATCCAAGTCGCTCCGATAATCCATACCATTGATGCTTGCAGTCATCTGATTCAATTTGTCTTCGTTTAATGGCCTGCAATTTTCTTCAAGTTTATGCCAATCTGCCGCGTCACCGTCACAGCTACTTATGGATCTATTAGTTTTATAACTTTTGGTGCGCACTTTAGAGTACTCTGCAGAAGAGAAAGCTCGTGAAAGTAGCTTCGGTGGAGAGTCTTTTAATTCCACAAGATCAAAATGAATGAGAGAATCCTTAAGCGCTACTTTGTATAAGTCGCTCTTGATAAATCGATCATACCACGATGACAGCAATATAGAATAGATCTCTTGTTGTGCCTTGCAAAAAATTTCCTTGGCGACAGGTTGCGGGGGCTGAACGTTATCATCAAAGCGACGAGTAACCACTGCTAAATACAAATCATTCTTTGTTTCGAGTGTAATGGCTTGCGAGTCATGCTGCGCTTTGTCCACCAGCACGTGTGCTAGTCGCCAGAACAACTCGTAATTTGATTCTTCCAGCACACGATTCAACACATATTCTACGTGGAGCCAAAAGTAGAGCTCAAAATGTTGCCGACTCTGCATCAAGAATAAGAGAAAATAATGCGCAGCTCTAGGCTGCTGAAGTACTTTTTCCATCGGAATCCTCTTAGTCCCATCTTCGGTATCAATTAGCATTCGAAGGTACTCGTCGCTTGTTAAAAATCTCGGCATCTCCTCTCGTGTGAGTCTCATGTACGCTAATTTTTGAATCGGGAAGAAACTCTCGGTCACCTTGCTCGTACTGTTAATGTTGTCCTTTATTAGCTGCTCAAGCTCGTCGGTAAGTTCCAGTGTCGTTGCGATCTGGAACTCAGACGAGTTGTCAATGTATTTGTTATAAATTTTGCGAGCCTGTTCCCGTTGTTTATTCTCATCTACGGTCTGGAGCTGCTCAATTTCCATCAAAAAGAGGAGAACCTGATGATAATTTTTGTTTGCAGAGTCATTGGGGTTTTCCGTGTCCAGCGACAGCCACTGTAGTAGATATGGGAGCTTCCTCGAATCTTTCACAATCTCTTTAAGTGTGAGCGGTACGTGTCCCTGCAATTTCTGAAAACTTGTTGTGTTTAATTCCACAAGTTGCTGATGTATTTTTGTCATGTTTTTCTTCCACTGTAATTTGTTCGGGCGGAAGAGTTTGCGAAGCTTGGAGCTTACCGGTAACGGGTACGAAGGCTCCGGTAGGGTGTGCACGGGAGAATTGCGATCGGTGAGACGCACCGAATACTTCCTGGAAGCAGTTGGAGATACTAACTCCTCATTGTGCGATGAAGATCGTCTCTGTCGGTCATCCTCGCTGGGCTTGTCGTCTCCAAACAGCCAAGAGTCTAAGCTCACGTTGGTGATCGAGCGCATATTAGATTAAAGAATATTTCAAACAACATTTTAATATTGAAGCAACTTATCCGCAAGGTACAGCAATTTAATCAGTTTTAGAAATAGCAGTATGGCAGACAGAGGCAAAGTGCTGAGGCTGTACAGGCGGATACTAACGCTGCACCGACAGAAGTTAGACCGTCACATGCGTATTCTTGGAGATCAGTATGTACGAGACGAATTTAAGCGACATAAGACCGCAGCAGCCAAATTTGTGCCACTCTTTCTCAGCGAGTGGGAGCAGTATTCCGCCGTCTTGGCTCGCAAGGAGAATCGTTTCGGCCAGGAACTTTCGGCTGAGGAAAAGCAGCTGTTTGACAACGAACAGAAACAAAAGTTGCGCTCGCTTCAGGATGCTGCTAAGAAGGTCGGAGACACAATTGCTTGAATACATTTATGAATTCATTGCCGTATTGTTGCCCTAACGAATTGGCAAGGAGTTCAATTAACCAGAAAGCAATATATATTTGTTAAGTGCTCAACTTTACCATCAAATATTTAGTAAGTGACGTGTCGTTATTGGGGTCGAAAATTAATATGAAGCGAATTCAGTAAAGCTTACACAGAATACCGCGTCTTGATGCTGAAGAATAGCCAACCTGAGATGCGCGAGCTTGATCGTGATTTGCGCAGCGTGCGCACTATTCTCATCAAAATTGGCACAGAGATTGTGCATTCACCTGAGGGCTTGCTGGCCATGGGCCAGATTGGCAACATTGTCGAGCAGATCGCGGTGCTGCACATGCGTGGCCACAACATCATTCTTGTATCCAGTGGCTCTATAACTATCGGTAGAATGGTACTACACCGCCAGTTTTTACTATCAGGATCCATGCAGCTGCATCTTGGCGGCCAAGTCGGCGACAACGTCCAGTTCTATGAGAAAGCGTGCGCCGCCGCTGGTCAAAGCGGTCTACAAAGTCTTTATGAAATGCTGTTTGCTCAGTATCATCTGGCCTGCTCTCAAGTATTAGCATCTGAGGCTGATTTTCGAGAGCCTAAAGTACGCGCCAACTTGCAGCAAACGATGCGTGCCCTACTGAAAGTGGGTATAATTCCTGTCATCAATGAAAATGATGTCATCACGCTACGTGAAACTCCATTGACTGTCGACGACAAGATCGCGTGGGATAACGATTCACTTGCGGCATTATTCGCGCAGGAGATGATGGTGGATCTCATGGTGCTTATTACAGACGTGGATGGCATCTATTCAGGCACACAGAACAACCGAAAGCTTATTTCGAGGTTTAAGCGAGGTGATACTCAGGTCATCGCGATGGAGAGTCGTGTAGGAGCGATTGGACAGAAAGATAAGCTACACTCGTGTATACGTGCAGTGGACAGTGGTGCTGTTCGCGCTGCCGTTGTGGCTAAGGCAGAGCAGGGAGTATTATTACGAATTCTTAATAATGAGCGTGTTGGCACTCTCTTTATGTCAAGTGGAGAGCCCATCGGCGATGCAGAGGTAGAGGAGCAGCACATTGATCCACTCTACTCGGGTATCGCCTCAAACATCCGAAGTCACGCTAGCAAGCTTTAAATAAAACGACAGGTGTACGAGGGGTGTCATTGAAAAGCTCGGGCGACACCCTATATGTAGCTAGTACGTCAACGAGTAGATACCATGATAAAGTGCCACTAAACCAACTATATCTCCATCTGATCATCAGAACTCCCAATAGTAAATATCTTGCATCTTTGTCCAACATTCCGAAATATTTTCCTTACCTCTTTTTTAAGCAAAGAAAAGCTTGTCCTGCCATTTTTATGGGTTGGAACTGGAGACACAACACTGTGATTGGCCTGACATTGTTACTGCTATCAGTATGCTTTTGACATAGAAAAAAACGCTTTACAGCGCTCTACGGCAAGAGAAGCGAAGTTTAATGCTAAAAGAGAAAGTCTGATGCGTGCTTCAATTTCGGCACAGATCGAGGTTCTTTTGCTTTGCTACCTTTAAGCCTTTCCTATGACGTCATTGCGGGTGTCATAGCAATCCGCTGACTCCAAAGTACCAGAACCTTAATCCAAGGCAATTAAACTCTTCCGGTCAAAATGTTAACTGTATTTCTTTGTTTGACTTGAGGCAAAGCCGCCTATATCTAAATCTATAGGTCTCTCGTTAAATACTAAAACAAATTCAAGTGGCAGTCCAGCCACGTAAGTGGCTTCTTGTTAAGAGATAGCCACAACATTGTGTGGTCACACCATCTTGTGTGACCCACCCCTTCTACCAGGGTATGTGTAAGCCCGTCACACTCTCCCCGATCAAAATTGTGATCACCCACAATTCACATTTAACTGTCGCCTCGTACGAAACTCGCGTGTCTAAGACTCCTTTACGTTCCCAGAACATTCTCTGCTCAATGAGCCTATGAAAATAAAGACACCCAGCCTTGCTGGTTCCGAAAACGCCGGCGGACAGAGCCTTCTTCGTCTCCTGCACGCGGTGCAACTCCGGACAGTACGTCCGCGGCTTCAAGGAAAGCGCACCCCAAACTCTCGGTAACCGAGTGCCGCGCACCGCGCTCGCCACGGGCGATGGATTACCTCGTCGTGGATATAAAGAAAGTCGAGTACGAGTCAATTGCTCCTTTCCCAAGATGGAAAAAAGAAGAGGACACGATGCACCAGCGGCGCGTCGTGAGCCCTGCTCAAACCTTGCGGACATTGCATCCTTTTCCCGATCTCTCGACTTCAGGGGGAAGTGGCATCATTAACGATCGCCTCGACGAGGCACAGAAGCAGAGGTCGGAGGCTGCCCACAGGGCGGCTCTCATGCGCTCGCATTCACGGTCGGTCTTAGGTCCTCGTGTGGAACACGGCTTCCGCTCGGCGGATCCTGCTACTGAAGCGACGGACGCTATCACTCGATCATTGGGCGTCTACGTGGTCGTACCCGTGGCCACGACACAAGCCGAGCTTGACCGACGTAAAGCTTTCCGATTTCGCTTCTTGATGCTTCAAGAAACCCCAATGGATAGGTGCCGCACTAGACTACTCTCAAAGAGGAGGCGTACCTGTACCCGCAATGCGGACGATTCCTGTGGTGCTTGCCCCTGGCAAAACCGCTGCAAAAGGTAAAGAGCTCTTTGAGCGATGGGTGCAGCGGCACCGGAAACATTCCTTGCTGTCTAACTTACAGCGGAGCCACAAGGAAGTGGATGTGCGCGCTAAACGCCATCTTCGATTTGAGTTTGCCAAACTCAAGGCGCAACGTCGACTTCCTGTGTATTGCGACCCTGTGACATATGGAATCATCCACCACGACCCCGCAAACACTGTGATTTCTCACACGGATGAGTCTGCAACCACAGCAGCCCAGGGCCATAGTTTGAGCTCAGCGCATGGCTCTTCGGCGTTCCTGGCTATCGTGGCACCTCAATCTACCACGAGTTTTCGGAGTCTGGGTATCCCCGTCACTTCACAAGATACTGGGTTTGACCTTGTCGCTGACGTCGACCTGCAAGGCTATCCACGTTTTAGTGGACGCCATCGTTCTCGTCGAGAAGAGTCGGTGGCAGAACATGACGACTGGACTATCGCCGTCCGGTGACTCGCGATGCTCTTCGAGCTCTTGAGGACAAAGTCTGTCGCGATGGGACTCCGCTGAGCATCATGCTGAGGTCGCATACCGCTATCCGACAGACGTAAGAACCTTGGAGCACTTTGTGCACCGACTGCCTCACGTTGAGAACTATCGTGCTCCTAGCCGTCGAGCAGACGTATATCACTTCGTGCGACGGTGGAGCGCCTGGCGCAGTGAGAGGTAGAAATCGGTACACTCTGTACTTAAAATAGTTGCTGGTTCAGCTTCTGGGTGGTCGAGCGGCTGTGGGCGCCGCCCCGGTGCCAATGCTTCCACGTTGACTTGCGCCCGATCCCGATACGGCTTAAGCAAGGTCACATTAAACACCGGGTGGGTGCGCATACGTTTAGAAGATTCAGCGATTCGCTTGGTTACGACCTTAAAAAGTTCCGGTAAACCGTGGACGAAGCTTCGTTTAAAGACCTCAAAACCTGCATATGTAGGAAGATCTCTAGCATTTAATGAAACCAGGTCTTCGGCCTCAAAGCTTTTAACATTTCTTCTGCTTCTTCCATCTGCATATTCTTTCTGCATCTCTTGGCTTTTAGCCATTGCATCTTGAACGAGTCGTAAGACACTCAGTATGGTAGACAGGAAGTCATCAACTTCTTTACGAACAGCAAGAGGGCTGACATACGCTAGCCGCTCGGCTATTCCTTCCCCACCAAGCCCTGAGCCATGCGATGGCGGCGTCAGCAGGACGGGTGAATGAACGATCCCATTCACGTAGAACGGCGTGTAGTCGGGAGCTAAATTCACTGCGTTGTTCAGAGCGAACGCTACAAGCGGCAACATGGAGATCTGGCGCCTCGGTATTTCAGCGCGCAGGCTACGAAGGACGTCTACAACGACGCGATTCATGCGCTTAGTTGACCATCGGTCTGCGGATGGTCCGCTGTTGACATGGTCAACTTGGTACCCAGCACCCTGAAGATTGTATACCAAAACTTCTCAGTGAAGCGCGGGTGTCTATCAGAGACAATTGGCTCCGGGAGTCCAAGTTGTCGAAAGACACGATCGACACGCATCGTCGCTGTACCCACACCGTCGATGGTGCCCGACACTGCCGCATGATAAGCCATCTTGCTCAAATGGCACACAAAGATCATTACACCCGTATTGCCTCCCAAATCCTTCGGCAGGCCAAAAACAAAGTCCGTACTCATGGACTGCCGCTATTCGAAGGGTACCGGTAAACTGGCCAGCGGCGCCGTCGCATTCGGAGAGGGACTAACCCTCTGATACGACCCGCGCGTGCAAGCGTATGCGCTCGTCCATTTGTACAACTTGGGCCACCAGTAGTGGCAACCCACAGAGCTGTACGTCATCTCGCGACCGAAATGTCCACTGAGTGGGGTGTCGTGGGCCACATAGAGAATACGGTATTTCAAACTCTCATCGTGAGGAACCACGATGAGAGTTTGAAGTACACGCTGCGTATCCATCGAGTCGGTGCTAATTACTAAGCGAATATCGGTGTAAGCGTGCGCGCATTCGCGACGACAAGTTCTTGTCTGAGTTCCCAAACTCCTTGCTCTCTAGAGCCTATATCAGCACTACACACATCCCATCATCT